GTTGGTTTATAGCTTTGTCTCCAGAATTTGGAATGTTGTGATGTCAGTTCCAGAGTGCTGGTAGCTGCTCAGTCAATCTAATGTGATCTATAAAATGACTGAAATGAGCAATAAAATGGGACAAAAACCCCAAAGAGATGCAAAATGAGCAATCTGAGACATAAAATGAAGTAAATGAAACAAAAACAAGATTTAAAATGAGCAAAATAAGACACAAAATACATACAGGATATAAAACACATGCAAAATGACTACATGGGAACCAAAAGAATCAAAACAGGACAAAAATATGATCAAAATGAGCAGCAAAATGACCAAAATTAAACAAAAACTACCTTAAAGGCACACACAGTGACCAAAATGAGCCACATATTGACCAATGTGAGACACAAAGGTACCGTAAGGACACACAAGATGAGACAAAACACATTAAGAAAACTTAACAAAAGCAACTATAGACAAACGTAAAATGACCAGACTCATGGTGACACATATGAGGATCAAAATGAGTCACAAAAGGAGCAAAATTGAAGGAAAACACCTCCAAAAAGATGCGCAATGATCAAAATCTAACATAAAATGATCAAAATGAGTCAGAAAATGAACAAACTGTCTAATGGGGAAAAAACGTGTCCCAGACACGAAAGATAATTCGAACTGAAATGTATTGGTTTGAATTTCGTGCTGGGGAACACGAAAAGTTGGGCAAATCGTGTCCCAGGACACGAAACAGTAGATTAAATTTCGTGACTATTTTTCGAATTGCCGTGAGACTGGGTTTTCTATGGCGCTGTGTTTTTTCAAAATGGCGGATTTCTTGTTGGATTTATATAAAGGCGCTGTGGGCCAAAACCAGAATAACTGTCAACAGGTGCATAAGTCTGACTGAGAGTTACAGAAAACACTTGATTGCAGTGATTGGCTCAAAGGGTTTTTCAACAAAATACTACTTTACAGGTCCCATCATGGTTCACGTCCTGGTGGGGGCACCGGAATCTTTCTGCGTGGAGTTTGCATGTTCTCCCCGTGCAGCGTGGGTTCTGTCCGGGTCCTCCCACAAGGTCCAAAAACATGCCGAGGTTAATTGGTGATTCTAAATTGTCCGTAATGTGAGTGTGCTTGGTTGTCTGTCTCTAAGTGTGGCCCTGTGATAGACTGGTGACCTGTCCAGGGTGTC